GTTCCGCCGCCAACTGCCAATTGCCGCCCTGGTCGCCTGCCTGCCTGCCTTTGTCGTCACCGGCTCATCGCCGCCGCAGTCGCCAATCTCTACTTGCCACCTACCGCTAGCTCGTCGCCTCTTGCCCACTGCTATAGGCTGTAGCGCCCGCCTTTGCCGCTGTAGCACTTGCCGCCTTAACGCCAGCCTCCACTGTTGCCCGACGCTACCTGCTAGTTGTCGCCTCCGCCCATCACCGCCGCCTGCCGATCGTCGCTAGCTCGTTGCCCACCCCACTTGCCGCGGCCATCCGTCGCCTGCAGCTGCCAGCCCTCACCACTCGCTGTCGTTGGCACTCGCCGGTTGTTGTCTCCCACTGGCACCCACCAACCGCAGCAACAGCCGCCACACAGCTACCCACCGCCCGTCTGTCGCAGCTCGCCACCCGCCCACCCGCACACGTAATGTTTTGTGCTGAGTAGAGCAAGAAAAACAAATACACTAGACGACTAAGATTAATACTAAAGCGCACGTGAGCCCAACCAATTTATAAAAAATATGAATTTTTTCTTTAAAAAAAAAATAAATCAAACATATTTTATATTTTTTATTTTTTAAAATATATAAATCATAACATTATCAAACACGTCTTCTTAAAACAGAAAACAAAAAATAAAAATTAAAAATAAGTGATCCCAAATAGGGCTTTTTTGTCCCAAAATTAAGACATTATATATTATCTCATAGAATTAGCTTGATTTCTACACCAAAAAAAAAATAAAAAATAAAAAAAAATCTAAATCTAAATCTTTCTCAAAACAATTCTCTCTACCAAATCAAGAATGGGAACTTGACGCTGCCTTTTCCGTTTAGATCATTACTACTTATAGAATTTCTCAAGTTAAAGGAAGAATTGGATTGAATTTTATAATTCCTAATGGAGGTATCATTTGATAGTCCTATACTAACAATTTCTACACCCCTTAATAATGGGAAGGAATGTTAATTACACTAAAGATTATATGGCACCAGCTTTTGCACCAAATTTGATCAAAAATACCTTGATTACAAGTTATTTGAAATGATATTGATTGTAACGTCAAATATGTGAATTTCTAAAGCCATGTTAGCATCATATTTGCCATTCAGATCCATCACTTCTCAGGCTCCCATGTAAAATATGTCAACAATGGCCTGCTTATAAAGAAAACCTGCATGAAGTTTAAGGAACACCCAACAACAAGTCTTCGTCGCAGTAAATGGGGTCGGCTGAATGAATCCTTTCTCCCCATTGTTTCCTATTGAGTGCATATTGACATTTAATTCTAATAGATTAAGATCATTTTTTATACATGCCCAAGTCTTTTTAGCTCGATCTCTACCTTTCTTTAACATAAGTTCAATCTAAAACATGTGCTCTCCTAATCGGATCATCGGCTGACCGACTTTTAATGTGACCAAACCAGCTAAGGGTCCGTTTGGCGCGACGGTTTTTGCGCGGCTCGGCGCGGTGAGCAGCCGCGAATCTCGCCCGTTTGGTTCGTCGTCTCCAGCGCGGTGGGACGCCGTGGGAAGCCATTTTGGCAGAACGCGGGCCGCAGATCAAACCCCGCGGCCCGCTTCGAGCGATGAATTATTACGCGGCATACCTTTTGTCACTATTGTTCGATGCCGAATCGCTCGTGCTCCTCCCTCCCTTTCGCTCCACCATCCCTCACGACTCGTATGTTTTGAAGCCTGCTCTTCTTGTTTATGGTCCCATTCGATTCTTCCTTTGTTCTGTTTCTGTGAGGAGCTGTGCTTAATGGCTACTCAGGCGTGCGCGCTTGTTCTCGAGTCATGCTTCTACAAGTCGAGGCAGTGAAGGCTCACAGCTCGCATGCAACCCGTTTCTGCCAGACGAATGCTCCAGGTTTATTGCAAAATGAGAAATCGGAATATTGGTCGGTCATTCTCTCTCCCATTACTCTGTCTTCTATTTTTCTGACGCAGAAGAACCATCAGAAGTGTTGCAATGGCGTCGCGCATGTATAGAGCTCAGTACTTTGGTGTAATAGGCTTAGGGATACCTCCATAGAATTTCACTGTCATATTTGATACTGAGAGTACCAAACTGTGGGTTACTTCATCTAAATACTACTTACGAAATTTTGGTAATGATTTTCATGAATTGTGATTTTTTCCTCTTCCTTTATCACTATCCGTACTCACCATTAACTTAGTTGGGCTTCTGAATTTTTAAATTATTTAGAAGTGAAATTTAGCATCAGAAATATCAAAGATGTCGCTCTTACAGTTTTATTTTCAACAGTTTTACCAAACTGGGTCAGCTTGGTCATTTTGCAAGAAACAGTTGCCCCAAAGTTGTTTTCACACAGCTGCACAAAACAGACAGTCAGTTTTTTCGCAGCAGTTTCCTGGGGCAGCGCAGTTACAGCTGAAAAGCTGAGAAGTTGCAGCTGCGTCAAACAGAGCCTAAGACGACTCTCTATAATCACGAATATAATCATTTTGCATTTTGTCCCAAGTTTCAAGCAACACATACAAAGTTTAAGGAAAACCCAATTCAAAAAAATAATTCTAGAGCATTACAACCATGATTTTTTCATATCACATGAAGAGTGCCACTATTTTAACTTCTAACGAGTAAAATACATTTTTTCATGCACAAGTATGGTGACATGTACGTAAAAATTGAAGTTGTAGGTGTAAGATATGTAAATAAATAAGAATTGAGTGTCATGTATGCAAATCTTTTTATGTTGAATGGAGGTCAATCGATGGTCATGGGATGAGAAACACACCATCTAAATCGTGCCCGTCGAACCGACATGGTCATCTCAGTCTGCACAATTTCAAGCATCTTGACTACATCAGTATACGTCGGGCGTGCATCAGGGTTAGCATCCCAGCACTGTGTCATTATTGCTCTAAGAGAAGGGGGGCAGTCAGCCGGTATGATCGGACGAGCGCCTTTGTTTACGACGGCAAAAGCTGCCTGAACGGCCGTCATGTTCTGGAATGGAACCATGCCAGTAATGAGCTCCCAAAGCACAATTCCAAAGCTATAGACATCCACCTTTTGTGTATATGGTCTGTGTTGGATCATCTCTCTGCATGTCAATGCAATTTCTCATGTTTATTGAAACTACTAGACATGAAAAAATTAAAATTAGTTATGAACCAAATTGAAGAATTTGCAATGAAACGTAAGCAATTCACTTATGCCTAAAACGCCGAGATTGTTTTTTCAACAGTGATAAACCATGAATAACCTTTTGAGTGTGGCGAGGCTAAGGACAACCACGCTGCATCTTTTATGTAACTTTTATAGCTCTTTTTGTACCTTTTGTTTTTTATAGTAATGCAACATGAACACCTTTAAGGGAAAAAAAATTATTACATTTACATAAATACTTCCCAATTCTTATGTATTTACATATCTAACACCTAAACATCACATTTTACATTTATACCACCCAAATCTTTTATATTACATAAAAAATACAACTATTTTAAGTTTTAAAAAGTAAATAACACCTTTTCATGCATAGGTGAGTGTCATATATGCAAAAATTGAAGTTTAGGAGTTAGATATGTGAACACATAGGAATCAAGTGGCATGTAAGTAAATCTTCTTAATATTAAATATATGAATTTCAGAAAAGGAACCTACCTGCTGTTCTAGTGAAGTCTTCAGAACAAAGTGAGGAGAGTGTTTAGAGGGGGCTTTGAATGATGAAATGAGAAGGATGCAAATCAATTTGGCTTCTTGAGATTGGAAGGTGTTGGGGTTGGGAATAATGGTGTGGGGGCTTGCGAATTTCAATAGGTATGTAAATTTTCCATCTTTTAAGGTACCAAATAATAACTTATAGGCACTTCTTCAAAAAAGAAATCATCATCAGGCCAATTTCTCATAATCCTTGATCAACTATAAAAAATTTAGGGGCATTCTTATAAATAACATCCAATTCCTATCCACTTGAATGCATAAGTTTTGTTTTTTAGATTTATACAATTAAAATCTTTCATATCACATAAAAATACCCACCATTTTATACATTTTCATGTGTAGGTGATACGGGGGGAAACCCAAACCACAACTAAAAACACATTATTGTTGAAATTTAATAGGGCTACAAATAAAGACTCTAGAAAATAGGAAAAACAACACCACCCACAAGACTTGAGCGTAGGTTGGTGAGGTGGTGTTGTGGTTTGAGGGGAAGCAAATGTTATGGAGAGGTTGGAATGCGGAACAGCAAAATCTGGCAGTAGTGGGGGAGTTTTTTTATACGGCATGAAGCAATAGGGAGGTTTGAGGAACAGCAAGATCTGGCAGTAGTGGGGGATGCCGGTGGTCTGCTGGATTGATGGACAGCAGCGGTTGGCGGCAAGGAGGGAGGGTGGAGGTGGAAGTCAGAGAAGATAAATCACCACCGGAGAGAGGATACAGCCGGAGCACCACCTTAACCATCAGAGAAAGGGAAGGAGGGGGCCGTTTAGCCTCCCTTCTCAACTGAACCGGTTTGAGCTTCAGCTTTTGGAGGAAAACCCCGTGCCAGGTAAGATGGTATTGTATGTAAAAATTGAAGTTTTAAGGTTAGATAAGTAAATACATAAAAATTGAGTGGTAAGTATGTAAATCTTCCAACTAGATCCATTTATGAGCCATTTTAATCATAAGAAACTCATCATGCACTGTGCCCATAAAAAAAAGTGGCCAGTCCAAACGTCGATTATATATTTTCATCTGTGGATACAAATTAGCACTAATAAACAAACATATGTTTTGTTAAAGGATTTTTAACCATTAAGTTCACCATTTCTTACCGTGTACAAGACATCATTCAATAATTACATATAACTAGGCAGAGAATGCACATTTGGATATTGAATGTGAAACAAAATATGTAATTTGAGGCCACGGCACATCAACTGTTTGTTAATCATTATCACTGAATCAAATATAAACAGTATGTCCTGTTGATGTAGGACATATTTAAGGTTATCCAAAACTAACTACACCAAGAAGAAAAACATAAATAGTAAAGTGGAATAAAGAAACAAAACTTTACGTGCTTTCTAATGAAAATGCAAAGTATCCAAGGCAAAACAATTAGCTACAGCATTTAAGGACTATAAGAGAAGGAAAATAATAACAAATTTGCAAGAGTCGGGGCACCAAGTCAACATTTCTTCCATGTTATTTTGAATTCAAGAAGTCATTAAAGAACCCTAAAGTAGATATAAATAATATGTTCATCCAATAATCTCACTTAAATTTTCAGTGCAAAGGCAAAGCTTAAATAGTTGTCTAGTTAAATTCTTAAATTGGACGGATTGCTTGCTAGTACATAATAGGAAAAGAGGAATCAAAGTGGAGGTCAACCCTGCGTGTGCTACTTCAATGAGTTCCTCACTAGGTTCACAGAGCCGAAAAATCACCTGTGGTGAGAAAGCTACAACCAAGATGTTGAGGACGTGAACACTCCAATGCCATGCAACGCTTAGAGGAGACAAGCGCCCCAACTATCAGCCTTAAGGCCGGGCTACTTGCGCGTGCAAGCAGTGAACATGTGGATTTGACTATGGTGGTTAATTTGCTAAGATGGCTTAAATAGAGATAGGCAAGAATGGCTCAATTTAATATCTCCACTAGCTATGTAGCAAGACCAACTGCTGGCCATCAAGGTTGATCTCAAAAGCAAATAATGGGTATGGGGGCCAGAATGGAGACGACGCAAAAAAGAGTTATCACCCTCGAGAGCAATTGGGGTGGGATGGATATTAGCGACCTTGATGTGAAGCTCCAAAGACTAAAACTGAAAGTTGTCCTAGACCGGAATACAATATATTCCCTTAAGTCCAAACCTTGCCGAAGGCAAATTCATGCTACGCCACTTAGTGAGGACCAGGCGCCTCCTAGTTGACATCCCGTCAAACCATATTTTAATTTCTTCAATATTTTTTCTAGAGGCAAGTGAAGTGTAGGCTCAATCGTAAGAAATAATTGTAAATCTAAAAATATTATAATTGCATTTATTGTGATATAGCTATAGAGCTCTATTTGCTTCATGATGTTTATTTTTACCCGTCTTTTAGTGCAACGTGGTTATGCTATTTCTTACTCCCCCTATTGTTCTTTACTAAGTATCTCCTTGTTATATGAATTTAAAAATAGCAAATCCTTGTTCAACCAAATGACTCATTATGGGTGCACGTGCAAATGACTGTTGAATAAGTGCTTAAGTCAGCTAATTAGACTGATTACTAATTCATGACCCAGACACATTTAATGACTGACTAGGAACGAAGAAGCAAAGGCTAGAATGCACTTTTGTTCATCTTTACCGTATACACTTATTTTCAATTGGCTCTCTCAAGGATTATCATAACTTATCTCTCTACTTTCCTTGTATTTCTCTCTTTCATATTCGTTCATTTCTATTCAAAAAATGTTGGAAGCCTTGAAGAAGAGCAACAAGCCTTTCAACGAGCATGAATTCAAGTAGGCGTCTATGGTATCCCCACAAAAAGCGACATGGTATGAGGTAGTTTATGTGTTCAATGATCCCCACATCGTCTGAGGATTGAAGAAAAGTGAGTACCCTAACAGTTTCAGTTTCTTGGATGACAAGATCTGCATGTATGTAGACCAATTTTCTCTTGATTTATACTATCCTTTGTGCATTGAGCTTCGCAAGTTCATACACACATGCTTGCTCATCTTGAAAAACTCAATGGCGAGTATAATCAACTTCATTCTTGATGTCCTTGAGTTGCAACAAGCACAAAGTCTCGGTCTCTTCCATCACTTGTTTACATTGTAGCGACAGGATCACATTTTTTTTTGCCTAATATCAAAATAACGAGCTTGATCAACAAAATAAAATTTGGAAAGAATGTTATTGTTTTGTCAAATATCTACACATATGGCTTATACATGCAAAGATGGCAAAGATCAAAAGTGTGCCCCTACCCAACCTAAGTGAGGTTGAGCAGGTTTTGTTAGCTGAGCTAAAGATACTTAATTTAGACATAAGAAATTTTTCGTGCTAAGCAATGCAAAGCACATTATATAATGCAAATCATTATCTTACTCATACGTCTATAAAAATTTATATTTTCTTGGTAAATTCCCGACATGAGTTCTTTCTTCCATTCTAGTTGTCGAAAAAGTACCTCACTTCTGACAACCCCTCGAATTCCTCGTCATCCTAAAGAAAGAGTCAAGAAAGAAAAGAGAAACAAGGAAAACACTGAGGCGCTTCAAGTCGATCTTTGAAGGCAGGCTCATGTCCTTCTGATGAGGGGACCAAGTCACACTAGAGTAAGGTCAATTCATATGAGGCGACTTGGCAGTTTTGATCTCTTCCATCACTTATTTACACTGAATGGTTTCAACAACAACAACACATCATTCTTAGGTGAGTTCCTTTTAACCTCATTTCTTGAAAAAGCGACTCTTATGGTCAAATTAACTCCTCCAATGGCAAGTACTACCTTTGGACCAAACATTAGACGACCTGTCAAGATAGCCATCAGCAAGAAGGTTGTGGTCAAGGTCAAGGAAAAGAGTAAAAAGAGGAATTATTGTGCAAAAATCTTAAAAGAAGAGGTGAGTTCACCCTAGCGGCCAAAGGAAACTAGCCTTCGAGTATGACACACAGACAAACACAAGTAGGATTGATTATAATGTCGACCCTTGTGCCCTAGGAATTGCCTTACCACACTTGACTTGGGGCGATCTCCAAGATGCCTCATAAAGAGATCACTTAGCTTCATAGATGCAACCTACACATGGAGGGCATAAGGGCAATGATTGTCCGTTGGCAATATATGAATTTGTTAGAAAGCAAATATGGTAAGCAACTCAAGACAATTGAGAAGAAGAACCTTAAAAGGACATTAAGAAAGATCAGGCTCTAGAAAATTGAAAGTTAATCTATGAGATACTTGTGGGCAAAAAGGAACTTCTTTTGAAGAATAAAACTAGTTTAACAAAGCTTTTATCTGAGAAGGATGCAGTCGATGCTATGACAACTACCCAGGCCAAACCTACTCACCATGAAGTCACCTCTCTAAAGAAGCAAATGAAGACAATGACTAAAAAAATAGAAGTCATTTAGAAGGAAAAGATTGAGAGGAAAATCTTTGACAAACTCATGAGCTCAATCGACCCAAATCTTGTTTATATCCAAACTCAAGCTCAACGACAAGTGGTTGGTATCAGCTTCTATCTCAACTAGTTGACAACCAAGAAGATCATCCTGGAAGCTCTTAGGAACTTGGACTACTTCTATTGCAATGATTGAGAATGTATAGGATTCAAGTGAGGAGAGCACCACATAATCTTGCACTCTTCTTCTTCTTGTTCCATTATATTTGATTTCTTATAAATAAAACATGGTTAATGAAAAAATCTTTACCTAAATCACCTGATTTCTTATTTTTATCATCTCCTTTTATATGTCATTGAATCTAATATGGCTATTGAGTATGAGAGTAGGGACTATTATTGGCCTTTATGAGGCCGCAAATAAAAAGTCTAATCATTGAGTTGAACTTTATATAGGTATATAGTCAACATAAAGAAATTACAGGCAAGTGTTTAGGATGAGTAAGAAAATTTCAACCTATTAGTAGGATTTTAAGTCGAATTGTGTGCTTTCTCCCTCATAGGCATTTATTCAAAATTTCAATGAGTCCACTATTTCAACTAAGGAAGATCACTTTAAGCAATATGATTTTTAGGCTATCTAAGCTCACTTTGATGACTTATATAATTCAATCAAATCTTTTTCGCTATCACTCCATTATATATTTTTCCAAAGAAGTCATACTTAATGACCCTAATCTTATGAGGGTAACCACTCATACTTGTCAGAAAGACTTGCTCGCTACTTAATTAAGAGATAATGCAGATGAGAGAATTAGACTCTAAGATTGGGACCATCTGAATAATATGGGATTGAAAACTTCGATAGTTTGAATTTGACATCACGTCTTGGGCAAAATCTCAAAAAGAGGTGTCAATAGTTAATTGTAATATTCAATGTTATTTTTGGTAGGAATTATTTATCATAAGCATTTTTCTTCCTTAAATCCATTAGATATTATATGTTTACTTATGCAGTGATACAAGACAGGTAAATGAGAAGGACAACCTCACTAAGTCCAAACTTTCCTTTGCTTGGGCTGTATTTTTGAGGTAAGCCATGAACTTTATGACGAGCATAGTACATTATCAGGTCCCTCATGTGAAGAACAACCTTCATGAATGCTCGTCTCCTAAAGCACTTATTCAAGATAGCCTCAACTAGCACAAACATTGTCTTAATTGTGGCATTGCAAGCAAAGAATGAGTGGAGTGTGCTTGCAGCGACTTTTATCTCTTTCGATGGTCATCTTTCCATTCAAAACGAGTCTACCATATTTGGTGATGCTAGGGTTGCAAAAATATAAGGCAATTCAAACTGCTTGATTGGATTCTTTCAGTGATGTAAGAAATTGAACTGATAAGCCTACTCGACCCGAACCGGACTAAAAAAAATCCAGATTTGGATTGGCCCAAAACAATATTCAAGTCAGGTTAGTGTTAGGAATTCTAGCCAGTTTAATTTTTGGGTTGGGTACGGGTTAACCCACCAATAACCCACCAACCCGAGATTGACTCAAAATTGACTTAATTTTGAACTGAATAGCTATTATGCTTTATTTTAAACTTTATGTAGATCATGTTTAGTAGCGAGTTGAAGGCGGGTCGGGTTTGGGTTAAACTTTTTGACCCATTTAATATAAGTGTCGCGCTAGGGTTAACAAATTCAAGTTAGATCAATTTTGGGTTGAATAACCTGACCTGCGAATTCGATTTAACGCCCCTAGTCTTGCAGGCCTTACACACACCGAAAGGTTCCACCTCGATGGCCTAGAGTGAGGAAAATCGAGGTTATGAGCAGCTCTAGAATTTTACTTCAAGCATCTCCCATTGCAACCTCGCCACAAAGTTTTGAAGTGACTCACCAGGCTCCTAGCGCATTTGGAGGAGAGTCCACAGATTTTTCCATAAATTATGTGCGTTGGTGAATGAAGTCACAAGCATCTTCTTGGAGATGATGAATAACATTATCGTCCAGACCGATGGGTTAGAAACCAGCCAACGGTCGACTCTAAAAAGAACCTACAGTTTAAGATGTTGTTGATGTCCAATTGATAAATAATCCTCTTGAAACATGCAACACGATTATCACGTTAGTCCAACCCCTATAGCCGTCTAGGTGGGAAATCTTGTATTTATTCAGCAACTTGGCTTCAATGATCCATAAAGCATTTATTGACTTTTTTTTTTTTTTTGCTTCTCCAGGAGGCGAGGTTCGAGTGTCGGCTCCTCATCCTCCATATTCGGGCAATAAATTTCATCAAAAGATGATAAAGCTCTCGTTGCTGCAGTTCTACTATTTGTCAAGTCTGTAGATTCTTTTGGCAATTGAAGTTTGAGATGCTATTATAGGTATATGATCCATAACCCCTTAGATCATTTTGCTAATCTTTCCCTCCATTTATGCCCACTGCTACCTTTTCACTATGTCCTAGTTCTCCATATTCACTGAACTCCTCCCTGTGTATTTATTTTGGTCCTCAAAATTCTTTACCTAAAAGAATAGTGGATCTTGTTTTGTTCCTGTTTTGTGTCAAAGCCTTACTAACATAGAAAAAAAGTGAAGGTGAAAGCAGGCAAAAAACTGAAGAGACCAAAAAGCAGATATACATACCCAAGTGCTATAGTATAGCGCAAAAGTTGTGAACACCTGGTTCTTCCTGCAATCCCCTATTTATAGGCAGGAATCTAGGGTCTGGAGTATTGCACAAAATCCATGGCATTAATTGTATACATAATAAAAATAAGATAATTAAAAATTTTGGGGCAAGTGCCATGAGTATAGACTCATATTGGAACTAGTAGTCGGTCATCATATGCAGTAGAGTAGTTAGGCCACTTAGTAGATTGGTCGAGTAGCTTTTTTGGATGTTAGTGATGCCTAGGCTGAATCAGCCAGACGAGTTAGGTGATAACCTTGAGTGAATTCCTCTTAGGCTTAATGAATATTCTTTCTCTAGTCAGCCGGTAAGTCTACCTCTTGCTAAGGAGGTTGGTGCTTTGAACCTGGCCGAAGAGTCTTCCCATAACTCTTCTAATGAGTTTATCTCGAGCTTAGCTAGCAAGTCCTTTTGAAACACGGCTGATGGGTCGTGTTTCCTTTACTTTTGGGCAAGTTCACTTTTAGGATGTAGAATTGGATCTAAGCCCAACAATATGAATGATGGTGCAATTATGACAGCACAATTACGCTACCCCTAAATTACAAGGGAAACCAAAAGTAATATCATAGGAGCTCAGCTCCCATCATGCACAAATATGCTACACCGAATCACAAATCTTCTACATATCACTCAACATAGGGTTGTCAAATCAGGTTTGCGGGCCAGGTTCAGGTCATAAAATTGACTTAACCCGAACTTGACCTAGATATTAAACGGGTTAGAAAATCCAACCCGAACCGAACATGCCTTCAACCCGTTGACCTAAACACAACACCCCGTTTAACATAAGATATAATAGCTATTCGAGTCAATTTTAGGTCAAATTAAGGTCAAATTTTGAATTGTCAGGTTAATTTCGAGTCAATTTCAGGTTAGCGGTTCAACCGAAACCTGACCCGAAAAAATTAAATGGGTTAGTATTCCTAACCCAAATCTGATTAGAAAATTATTTGAGTCAACCTGAATCTCATATTTTTAGAGTCTAGTTCGGACAGCTTACGGTCAATTTTGACACCCCAAATTCAACAACTCAAGCTTTCGGTTGGAGTAAATGTAAAGGGAACCAAAAAAACCAAGAAGCGGAGACACAAAAGAACTTCCTAAACTGTAAACAATGTAAATATACGGAGGAAGAAATTATAGCAATGCACGGTGTTCTGCATTAACCAGAACTATCCTTGCTGATAGTTTGGAACAAAATAAAAACCTTCCGCGAAAAAGAGCATATGCCGTTATAAGACTGGCAGTTAAAACATAAGCAGGGAATAAAACTTGATCAACTTACGGAGCCATCCAACGATAAGTTCCAGTCTCTGGAGTCATCCCTTCTGGCTGCACTTCAATCCTTGCCACTCCAAAATCTGCTATTTTTATCGATCTATCTCCACAAATCAAAAGATTATCTGATTTCAAGTCCCGATGGATAAACCCCAATCCATGAATATATGCCATTCCTCTCGCAACATCCAGTGCCTGCCTCACTGCAATATTCAGCGGAGCAGAACGGTTCTGCCTCTTACTAAGAAACTGTCGAACGGATCCACCTTTGGCATACTCAGTAACAATGCACCAAACCGTTGGCTTTCTGCAAGCTCCTATGAACCTAACGATATTAGGATGCCTTAATGAAGCAAGCATCATCACCTCCTGAGCAAACTGCTGTTCCGTGAACTGGGCTCGCTGGGGGTCATTCTCAGGTTTCTCAACAGCTTAATTGCTACATCTTCACCACTATAGGTTCCCCTGTAGAGCTTCCCAAACGCACCTTGGGCGAAGGGCTCCCCCATGCCGAGCATCCTAAGATCAAGCGTCCACTCGTCGTAGTCGCGGAGGCCTTCGGTGGGGAAGCTCCGATCAATCAAAGCTTGTGCTAGGGCATCGCCGGTAAGGCCATGGGTGACGACACCAGAACGGAAAACGCTGCGGCCGACGGAGCTTCCAATGGTGCCGGCCGCGCCGGCAACTACCTGACGTGGGCCGTTAAGGTGGAGGACTCCATTACGAGAATCACTAGATGCAACACTGCTATTATCCAGCAACATCGCCACAGAACCACTCTGGATGCTATCCACCGACACGTTTGTACCGTCACCAAGCTTCGGCGAACAGCCCAGGTCGTAGCAGTTACCCCTGGAGTTCCCGGCGGCCATTATGCCGGCGAATTTGGCAGCGTCCATCATCTTTCAGAAAACCTAAGAGTTTGATCTCAGGATCGAAGCCAATAAATTATGCAAAACTCAAGAATCAGCTCCTTCCGTATTGCACTTCAAACATTCCAACTGCATCAGCAACGAAATTTCAATGAAAAGGTCTCATCTATGCAAACAATGGAAAGATTGAACGGCACAATCGATAGAAACAGATAAACTGATTGACCTGCGAGCAAAAACCACCGATTCTTACGAATCTAGACTCGGCCGGTAACTCTTCCCTCCGGCAAACTCGCTTGCAGAGAATTGATCAGAATAGTTTAGTCTTAGATATGAAGACGTCAGGATCGTGAGCTGCTTGGAGTGCTGCTCCCTCCTTCTCCCTGCGTTTCGCTCTTTAGATATGAAGACGTCAGGATCGTGAGCTGCTTGGGGTGCTGCTCCCTCCTGCTCCCTGCGTTTCGCTCTCTTGTCCGGGAATTTTTATTCGGTAGGTGCACCGCGAATTTTTATTCGGTAGGTGCACCGCATGAAAAAATTTGCCACTCCTTGTCCGGCGGAGTAGATTGGAGACGACCAGTGCGATCCGCATGCAATTGTACACAATTGGTTTGTCTTTACATACGTAATAACTAAATTTTAAAATTTTGGGATAATTACATGCAGACCACCGCATATATACATATTTACAAATTTATCATCGTAATGCAATTCTTTTGAATTACCAAAGAGATATGAGGGGGCCATAATCAAACTATTGAAAGTTTAATAAAAACTAAAAAAATATGGGTTGGGGTTTTACTATGAATTTTGATTTTTGAGTGAGAATTTGACAAATGGATGAAAGAACGTCGTTGATCTGTAAATAATAAGTTTTTGGCTGGTCAGTATCTAATTGTTCCTATTTTTATATTAAAATCATTCAAATATTTTTAATTAAAAATATTATTTTCTTAATATAGATCAAAGTATCTTTCATATCACATTTGGAGGAGATGGTATCTAAAACGCTACTTTTCATCCTATCAAAAGCTCTCTTCATTTTTGAGTGATAGTTTACTATTTACAATAAAGCTTCATTGTGAGCTAGTTCAAATAAATAAAGATCAATGCTTGTATTTTTTTATATTATGGAAGTATGAATGCAAATATTAATTTATGGCTATAATAGAAAGGTGAGAGTAGAGAGTTGTTGTTACAAAAAATGAACAAATATTGAACGCCAAATGTAACGTTAAATCCTTATTTAAATAAGGAAAAACATGAATGGCTTTGCTTGTACGTGCTTGAAGACATAAATATAACAGATGGATGAGATTTCACTTACACATGCTTAA